TTGCTCTGGCAAAGCCTCAGAAGCGCGGGAACCCGCCCGGTGCCCCTGGTCTGCTGGAGACGGTCTCCAGCAGACCAGGGGCACCGGAGCAGCTTACGACCGGGGCTTTCTCGCCCCGGAGGTCGCAGGTAGCAATCCGCTACCTCGACCTCCCGGGCGAGAAAGCCCCGTTCGTAAGTGCGGATCCGACATAAGTCGGATCCGCGTAAGTCGGGGACTGCCTGTACCATACCATGCCATTGTGGTATTGTGAGCTTTCATGGGCACAGCCCACTTCTTCAGCTGACCGGAGTTTAGAGTTTAGGATATGCAGACCCAAAATAAATAGGGCAGGAGGGAGAGGGGGGAAGCGGGGGAAAAGGAGGAAAGGGGCAGGAAACAAGGAGTAGAGTTTATGAAAATATCAAAGGGAAAAACAGGAAGGCAGACATTTACCATTTAAAAAATCCTGTGACCTTGAAGTTGACCAGAATGGACTGTGAATTTTGTAGGGCACTAATACATGCATAACTGCTCCTTGAGCTTCTCTCCTCTATCTCCAGGCTGGATATCCTCCAGTTAGGTCTGGATCTGGTCCAGATTGGCTCTCACTCTTTTTACTCTCTCATCATTGCTTGTTAGTGACTGCTCTCATCATTGCTTGTTAGTGACTTTGTGTTGGTTAAATTACAGATCCCCCTCTGAATCATCACTCTTCTTGACTTAGCTGCTGCTTTTTAGCTCTGCAGAGCATATCATCCTGTTTGAAACTTTATCCTCTTCTGGTTCTCCTACTGCTTAACAGGGATTAAAGAGAAGCTAGATAATTTCATGGAGGTTAGGTCCATAAAAGGCTATTAGCCAGGGGATAGAAATGGTGTCCCTGGCCTCTGTTTGTCAGAGGCTGGAGAAGGATGGCAAGAGACAAATCGCTTGATCATTGTCTTCGGTCCACCCTCCCTGGGGCACCTGGTGCTGGCCACTGTCAGCAGACAGGCTACTGGGCTAGAAGGACCTTTGGTCTGACCCAGTACGGCCGTTCTTATGTTCTTATGCTTCTTTGGTGGTTGATTGGTCAGTGTTTTCCTTTAGCAGAGCTCCCTTCTCTTTCTTCCCACTTTTTGTGGGGTTCCACATGACTATCTAAGACCCACTTTTCTTATCTTTCTACATCCTTTAGGTAAATCAATCTATTCACATGGCTACAAATATCAGTTTTACCATTATGGTTCACAAATGTAACCTTTCCAGGCTTTTCTCTCTTTACTCAGTCCTGTAGTGTAACTTTTCTCTCTGACATCTCTTTCTAGATATCCTAACTCGGTCCCTCCTTACTTTCTTTTCTCTTATCTGCTCTCCTTGTATTGCCCTCTCTGCTCCTCCAATAATACCTGCCTCAACTGCATGCTTGTCCTCTTCTCTCAGGAGTCTCTTGGTGCTTTCTTCCAAACGGTTTCTTATTCATGGAAGGCACTCTCCTTAACTGATCCATGCGTGTACTATCATCTTCAAATTCCTATGTAAAACCCCCACTTTTGCCAAGAAGCCTTCAGAAAATTGCTAACTTGGAAATGACTTGATATGTCTATCAATTTAATTATTAAAATAAAAATCACTGTTACATATGCAAACATCAATAAACTGTACACATAGCAAGCCTAAGTATCCATGCAATCTTATTACTTTCACCCTTATTCTTTCTTACCCTTACCTCCCTTTGTTTATTACATTCATCAGGATTCCTCTCAAAGTTGGCAAGATGTTGCGCAGGTGCAGATGTCCACCTGCATAGAGCTCATTACAGAATTGGGAACTTAGACTGTAAACTTTTATAGGAAGGACCATATTTTAATATGCTCATACAATAAGGCTCAATCCTGACTGGAGCCTGACTAGAGTCTCTGGGTGCCACAGTGATATCAGTTAATAATAAACATTCATAATTAAAAATAATAGGATAATTTGGGATCAAGGGGTCTTAAAAAAGGGGCCTGCCAGTTTTATTAAAAAAACCTGCTTCTCATGTAAATTGAGAACTAAAGTTGCTTATCTAGCTGACAAAATAAGGTTTTACTCTAGCATCACACAGACAATACCATTGCATGGAAAACAGCCAAATTCTGTTCTGGTTTATGTAGCATCAACATAATTGTAAAATATGTATGTTCCAGTTGCAGGAACTTTGTTGTCCATGATGATGAATGAGCCAAAAAGTATACACTGGGTTTGTAGGGCTGGTTTTGGAAAGAAAACATAATTTACTACAATGGAAAGCCCAGGAATAACAGGCCAACCAAATATCTTGTCTGCCTGAAAGTCTCACCACATTTCCCTGTGTGTTTTAGATTTTCACCAATCTTTTCTGAAAGTCTTGCAATGTTTTGCCAATTAACTCTACGTCTCAGTTTAAGAAATGTTGGCTCATTCACTTATCCACTATGTGCTGAATAATTTCTGTTTTAAATTATGAGTAACTTCGCACCTGACAAATCAAATGGCATAAATATCATATAGAAATTATATGAAAGCAGACCTAATAATGATCACTATTTTACTCAAGCTTTTGTGAATTTTGAATGTTTTTGTAAGACTCTCTGATTGGATCACTCCATTTCCAGTGTTCTTCTGGTCTATTTAAGAGATGAGTTATCTGAGAAAAGTGCAGAACAACACCTTTGTGGCTCAGTCCATCTGAGAGATACTAAGAAAACAGCTTTATAAAATACAAACAGGGTCTTTCTCTTTATTTGGAATGTTTTCCTAATAAAATATACTTCAGAAGGACCATCTTCTCTTTTTTTGGGAACACATTGTTATAAATGGTACATTGACAAGTCCATGTACCTTATCTGGTTTCCAATAGGCAGAACTATTGTTATAGTTTGATTTCATTTTCCTAATGTAGCAAATATTTTAGTTATTATAAACTAATCAATAAGCAGACTTCTGATAATAAATAATCCTCATAATTATAATTTTAAATGGGATTATTTTAAATAATCTATTTTAGATTTGATCAATTCACTAATTAGTTTAGATATATTTATTGAAAGCATTCTGATAACTAGTTCTTTTTCTAGATGTCCCGGGATGAAACAGTGTGTAAATACTGTGGAGTCAGTTATTTGATCCTTCATGAGTTTAAGCTGATGGAAGACAAAGTAAAAGCAATGGAAAAAGAGATGAAGTTTTATGAAGGAAGTGTGGACCGGGAAAAAAGACTTCAAGCACAGTTGCAGTGTCTTACTCAAGACTTTGAACAGTGCATGGCTGATAGTGAATCAAAAACAGAAAGGTTGGAACATGATATTCATCCTTATATTTTTTCATATTATTATTCTCATTAATTTAATTGAAAGGATGGTTTCAAAATGTAAACAGGCTTAGGCTTTCCTTCCAGAATCAGCCTGAATCAGATTTAGCATATACCTAAATGTATTAGTGTTTTAATTTAATAATAGTTGGAAGCATTCCTTAGACAGAAATATTTACTACCTTGTTTAGAGCCAGTCGATAAATTTAAGTGAAAGAAAGGTCAGATTATTGCATAGAAAGCTATTGACAAAGAGGGAAAATTGAGCAATTTTAGGTATCTAAAATATTTTAGTCAAAATTTAGAGTATTATGTTTGACAGAATAAGGAATTTACATTTTTGAAATATGTATACATAGTGCCTTACAATAGATACAATAATTTGATAAAGAAAAAAAACCAAAAAGGCGTAAACTCAGTGGAAAGGCTTAAACTCAGTGTCCAAATTATTTAAAGCACTGAAACTGATTTCAAATTGGTAAGTATTGCATGTGTGTAGTTTTGAAATAGAAATAAGGACTTAAGTCCTTTATGGAAATCCATCTTGCAAATGTTTAGTGCCCTGCATAATGCAAGTTGTACCACAGTTGTCCCGTTATTAAGGTAGTGGGAGTTTCGTCTTCATAGGAACTTCCATGGATTGGCAATTTGGCAGTGTCAGATGCATAAATATTTCATTTATTGTGTTTTATTTCTTTGCTTAGTGCCAGTATTCATCATCACAACAGTAATGAAAATGGAGAATTCAATTAATAAGTTCATTCAAACAGTAATTATCTTTTTTTTTTAAAAAAAATGTCTTTTCACATTAAACGGCATAATTGACTTGAACTCTAAGTAATTTAAAAACATTTTGGTACAAGTTGCTTCAGGTACTCCTGTTGAGTGCTCTCCCAGCAGTCTTTTGGTTCTAGTGTCACACTTTTTTTTGTTTTTAAAAAGCTATTTTTGTCTTCTAACAAGTAATAGGAGAAGCAGGGAAATATCACTATACATCTAGTTTGTAATATATATTATTTTCATGATGTTCTATGTATTTGTCAGCACTGTATCACTCTCTAGGATTTCAGTTGAGCTCCTCAGTTTACTGTACACTGCTACAGATGTGGCCCCAAACTGTGGCCTCTTACTCTTCTGGCACTTCACCCTAACGGGGACAGGAAGGCAGGGGGAAAGGGCGGGACAAGAAGGACTGAGGTTCAGGGCTTCCCATAGGGGCTAGATTTACTCTTCTGGGGTTCCAGGATTAGTGGATTTTGTGGACCCCCTAGGCTCTGTAGTGGGGACAAAAATGAGGGGTTCAAGTGCAGGAGAGGGCTGCCAGCGAATGGGATAGGGATGGGGATGCGGGATCTGGGCAGGAGGTGGGGTGCAGGAGGGGTTGAGGTTAGGGTGTCTGGCCAGGGGGAGGGGCAAGAGCAAGAGAAGGTGCAGTGTGTGCCCAGGAGGGAGGATGCAGGAGCAAGGAAAGGATCAGGAGCAGGCTGGGATTATCATGTCTGGCAAAGGGGGAGATTGCAGGTTCAAGGAAGGGTTCAGGAGCAAGGCCGGGGGTGGGGTATCTGGCTGGGAGGAGGGTGCAGGAGCAGGCTGGAGGTAGGATCTCTGGCCAGGTGGTGGGAGGATGCACAAGTGGGCTTGGGGTGCGAGGTTTTAGTGGGGAGGTGCATGAAGGGGTTGAGGTGCAGGGTCTGGGCATGAGTGGGTGGGGGGCCACTTACATGCCTTCGTGCCTCGCGCTGTCCTCACGTACTATGTTGAAGGCATGGCCTCCTGCTGCTTCCATTTGCTGGATTCTGGCCAATGGGAGCAGCAGAGAAAGTCTCCAAGTAACGCATCTGTGCGCTGCTGTTCCCCTAGCCAAGGGGGATAGGGTGAAAAAGTGGCTTCTGGCTCCATTTCTTCCCCTTGAGCTGGCTTGTGCAGCGAGGCTCAGGGTTTTTTGCCTCCCCACCCTTATCTGGAAGCCGGCACTGGTTCTCCAATCTCACACGGGGTGGTTGTGAGGCTGGAGTACGAGAGTGGGCTCTCCACTGTGCGGAGAAGGGAGTGGGACTGAGCTTGAGCTGTGGAGCACATGGAAGGCTAGTGGTCCACGGACCATAGTTTGAGAACCACTGACCTAGCTGAATGCCACAAAATACTGTAGTCTTTATTGTTTTTTGGAATCCATTTTCTTGATGACCATAATAATGATTTGAGAGAGTTCATTATAATCTTTCACGATACATGCATGTCCTTATTATATCTATGATATTTTTGTCATGTATGTTATTTGCCATGATCTTCATGTCTGGCAAAACACAATAGTGTACAGTATAATATTATACCTAGTTTTTTAATTGGACAAACTTTATATGAACCTGAGATAATAAGGTGTTTATGAGGATGATGGCGTACATGGAAAGTACATTCTGTGGACTGAAAGCAGTGGTCCTATCTAGCCAGATCTGTAGGGGCAACAGCCTGCAGGGGAAAAAACTCTCCTGTAGTAAATGGAAAAACAAACAAAAAAATGGTTAAGATACAATAAATCCTGCTGCTCTTGCAAAATGCAGAGCTAATCTGAAATTTTTCACTTGCATGCTGTTCTTCTGAAGAGTCGGATTCTGGACCTTAGAATACTGCATATGTTTGTACTTATCTAGTATTTGGAAAACCTTTTGTTAAAATTAAATTAAATTCCCCCACAGGAAACAATCATGAAAACAATTCGGCAATAGTTTCTTATTGTGTAGATGTTGTGTTGCAAATATGCATTTTTTGCTTGTTCACATTCAATAAGGTAACATTTTGCTTGTTTTGAAAAGATACCTTAAACCTATATACTTTTCTGTTCAGTCTGGTTTTATGAAATAATTTCAGTTATAACCCTTATTATCCTAGCATATTTTAATGAACAAAAGTAAGACAATGAAGTCATGCTTGTTTTGGCAGCAGGTGTGTAAGATCTCATACCAATCCTTTTTGAGAAGTATAAAGAGTTTTATAAAGCAGATTCACCATTCTGGTCCATAAGGATCCTGCATACATTTGTAGTGTTCAGGCACAATGAAACGTTCCACTCAGTAATTTCTCATCCTCCTCTACTATCTCTCATAGAAGTGAGGCCACAGTTTAGACCTTAATCTTTACAAAATCGCGAACTGTGCCAAATCATACCAATCTGTATTCTGTTTTTCATTTTTATAGTAACCTGTGGATGATAAGGCAAAAGATTTGTTCCACTTAATGCCAGTACTTCTGAGTGTGGAGTTTTGGAGTGTGGGTGGTTGGAGTTTTCCAGAAGTTCAAGATCAACAGTTTGAAGGCTAAAAGTAAAAGTTTCACACTTAATTTCTGCGTGGCTATTTCAGGATATCATAAGTATCCAGAAATAGTTATCCTGCATCTTAACATGCTGCCCATTATTTAAAAATATTTTTGAAATAACAGTAGCGCTATTTCAGCATCCCTGTTATCCTCATTCTACGAGGGTTAAGGGCTGTCTCGAAATAGTGCATTATTTCAAATTTTGGCACTCTGTAGATATGCCAAATTTCAAAATAAGCTATTTTGAAATAGAATCGAAATAAGACACGTAATTTGCGTACCGCAAAGTGTATATCTTATTTTGAGTTAGGGTGTTGTGTAGATGCACTGTCAGTGAGTTTAATGGAAGCAGTTCACAATTCTTGTGGGAAAGAACCTGCCTTCTCCTCTGTTACTGCAGAGAGCCCTCTTGCAGCAGGATTTAAGATTCAGAAGAGTTTTTTAAACAATGTGTGTACGCTACCAAGACAGTTTGTCAACCTTAAGGGCCACTGAAGTTGATTTTGGGTACTCCTACTTTTATGGGAAGTAATGCAATTTCTGACTTTTCCTGGTCGAACGTATGGTAGTATAGATGCAGCATTGAGGTTCTTGGCCTCCAGGAGGCATTTCATAGTGTTCTGCTGTGGCTAGAACTTGTGCCTCTACTGCTCTCCAAGTGAATAGGTAAAGCCCTGGGGAAGTTTGAATTTCATTTCCTGTGTTTCCAGCATTGCGAACACACCTCAAAGCAGGCAGCACACCTGAGCAGCACACATGGCCATATCTTCCAATACTTCAAGTCCCATGAACTGCAGTTCCTGGGTGCAAAAGAGCACCAGTATGGAGTGTACAGGAGATCTTGGACCTCATCAAGGCCTGGGGAGAGGAATCCATTCTCTCTGAGCTCCAAAATAGCAAAATAAATTCTGATATTTACATGAAGATTGCAAACTACTTGGTGGCCAAAGGATACTCCAGGCATGCCCAGCAGTACCAAGTTAAATAAAGAAGCTGAGACAGTCCTATCACAAAACAAAGGAGGCAAACAATGGTCTGGCGCATCACTGCAAACATGCCCTTTCTACGACCAGCTGAATGTAATACTGTGTGTGAGGGGGTGGCAGTACCTGACTAGCTTCTCAAGCCTGACAGTGGAGTCTGCCCAAGACACTTCTGGCAGCAGCTTCAAGGACAGCGAGGTGGTAGAGCAAGAGGAGGAGAATGGACAGCTGGCAATCAGTGAGAGCCAAGAACTTTTCATAACCTTGAAGCCAATCCCCTCCTCCTAGGACGTCCTCCAGTCTAGCACTGATCTTTTGGAGGACATTTCTGGTGAGTTCAAATTTTTTTTCTGATTATAAATGGGTTAATGCGACTGGGTGTGATGTGTGGCATATTATGTGTCTTCACCAAATGGGGGGCAGAAACAGCTTGTTAATGTGTCTGGAGATGGAGCAGGAATCCTCTCAGTATATCTCCATGAAGCTCTCAGATAGGAACTCTTTGATCCTTCTCACAAAGTTTCTGGGGAGACCTGATTTATTCCGTCCTCCTTGGTAGAACATCTTCCCATGCCAAGACATAGCACAAAGCATTGCAACATGAGGCCCAGATTTCTAGCCATATTCAGTCAGCATCAGCTCCCTTACACTCTGTGTGATTTTGAGAAGACTGATATCTCACATGGC